GAAACCAGAGAGGGAGACAAACCATAAGAGACTCTTAATCTCAGGAAACAAACTGAGGGTTGCTGGAGTGGAGGGGGGTGGGAGGGATGGGGTGGCCAGGTGATGGACATTGGGGAGGGTATGCGTTGTGGTTGAGCACTGTGAATTTTGTTAAACTGAATCACAGACCTGTACCCCTGAAACAAATACAAATAATGCATTGTGGTTTTTTTAAAGATTTTTATTTATTTATTTGACAGAGATACGGTGAGAGAGGGAACACTAGCAGAGAGAGTGGGAGAGGGAGAAGCAGGCCTCTCGCCGAGCCGGGAGCCCTATGTGGGGCTCAATCCCAGGACCCTGGGATCATGACCTGTGCGGAAGGCAGATGCTTCATGACTGAGCCACCCAGGCGCTCCACATTATGTGTTAACAATAATAATAAAAGAAAAAGAACAGGGCTGGGGAGGACCGGGCCAGCTGCCAACTATACCATATCTCAATTCACAATGTTTTAGGGCACATTATCAGAGGGTTTTGCTTGAATTATCATTATCATCCTCCTTTTAGAGATCATAAAACTAAGGTATTGAGCGGTGACTTCTGATATAAGGGCCAGAGCAAGGATTCAAAGCCAGGCAGGCTGGCAACTGAGCCTACACTCTGAACCCCCGTGTCACTATGCCTTTCCTCTGCAGTGAAAGCTCGGGATCAAGCTCCTTCAGGAAATGATTTCAATGACAGTCAGTAGTAGAAAATTGAATATACAAAAATGTCAGACAATACTATAAGAGAGAAAAATTTACTGTAATTGCTGTTAGTTTAGCAAAAACTGTGGGAACATGAACAATGTCATTGATGATAAGGGAAATTATCTGCTTATGGAGATTATAAATCACCTAATGACTGGAGGGAAATGTTGGAAGAATTTGATGCAATTGCCTATGAAATCAGGGCTGACTCATAGGGTTATTTAGCTAGTGACAGCTCTAATCAAAAGATGAAGCCAACAATTTCCAGAAATCAACAATTATTTAGAAATTATAAGACTGACTTAATGAATCATTAATGTTGCAATATGTGTCACTTGGTAAGCAGATTTATAATACCATGTAGTTTAATCTGTTTAGGGAATTGAAGGGAACACTCTTAAATTGTTTATTTAAATATTACTATATGACTCAGGAAGTTGTTAAATATTTTTAATATCATTCTTCCTAGAAATTGGGTCACAAATTAGGCACAGAGAAAGTGAAACAAAAGCACTCCTTGAGAAGAAACTGAGTAACTGCCTCCCATATGGAGATCTGATTTGAGAGGTCAGGCATCCTTCTGTGAAAAGATCTTCTTAGGCATAATAGAAATTCTTTCTATCACTACTTTAACAGTTTGAACAAACACCCAATAAATGTGTGTTGAGTGGAATGGAATTCTGAACCTAATTTTTTTGACGATCAACTCAGGTAGGTGTCACTTTGGAGGAACATCAGTTGCCACATCAATCAGGGGGAAGAACCCAATTTCTACGGAATCACTGCTGTTTTCTAATCCTTACTCCCAAGCACCTTCATTTTTCACACTCTTTCCTTTTGACTATTATTCACATCTCCTAAATTATGGAGCTGAAATTAGACTCGAGATCCTTACACTGCAAATGTGAGTGTTGACACACTGCTGTTAAGATAGCAAAGCAAGGCTTCTAACACCATGACATCTTTTTATTGTTCATCAATAATCTCTGAATTATTCATATACTATCTTCAAGTACTGGGCAAGGAAAGGGCTATTACTTATGGGTGTTAAAATCTCAGTGATACATTATTTCAGGGTTTATACTCAGTATTGTTAGCAGAAATACATAACACACTTGCTCACTTATTTTCAAACAGCAAATTCAATTCCTAATATTACTCATAAAGTGCATGAAAGAATATTGAAATTATAACCTAATCTATATAGCTTATGTCTTGGAAAACCGAGGTCCAGAAAGATTCCACCTAGAGGAGTCCTACCAATGTTCATTAACAAACTTCCACATGTCAGACATTCCACACAGCGATTAACAATCCCTGCTCTAGATCCCTGCACTGGAGATACCAGAAAGTGGAAAAGCGCAGAGGTATGATTTGAACCCAGCCAAATTATTTCTAAGGTGGCTGTTCTTTCATTGACATTCAGTAAACTATGGAAGGTCTCTTAATTAAGAATCTCAAGTGAGTCATAGCCTTCCTTAAGTTTCATCTTCAGACTGTCCTCTTAGAACAAGAGTTCTTAGGCACTGGGGGAGAAATTAACTCCTGTATAATTGCTTTCAGTCAACAGACAGTCAACAGATCACATCCTCTATGTCCTGGTACAGTGAGTTTGGGACAAATTCCATGAGTGACCTCCCAAAGCTTACACTTCAGGGGAACAACAAATGAGCAAATGAGTAATACCCATAAACAATGATGACATACAAAGTGCTCTGAAGGGGCAGAACAAGGTGCTTTGATAAAGAACTATGTGTAACCTACTCAGAGGAAGTCAACAAGGTAGACCTTGGAGGGGATGATAATATGAGCTGAGGCCTAACTCTAAGAAACAGTTAGCCATAAAGAGGTTTCTAGTACAACAGTGAACTACATAAATGTCTGAACGTGGGGAATACCTGGATGCATGCCTCAAGAACTGAAAGAAAGTCCATGCGGCAGCTGGATGGGTCTGGAGAGCTAGGCTTGGGCAAGACTATGCAGGGCTTTTCATGCCATGACAAAGAGTTGGGTTTTACTCTAAAGTGCTATGAAAACTAATGGAACATTTTAGGATGAAAAATTATAGGATCTGATTTCTGTTTTAAAAATCACCCTCTTAAATCCCGATGGATTAAAGGGGAAAATTAAGGAATCATAAAGAAGCTACTGCAGTAGTCAAAAGAGATCATGGTGTCTTAGTCTAGGGTGCTTGTTTGACACAGAAATGGAGATGAGCAAGTGATTTGAAATATATTTCAAAAATAAAATTGACAGGCTGGCAAATGAATTAGATGTGTGGCATACGTGAGAGAAGGAATCAATGATCCCCCAGGCTTTTTGACTGAGGACCTGGATCAAGAGTCATCTCATTTTCTGAGATGCAAAAGAATTGAAAAAAAAAAGTCTTTACGGTGATGTTCACAACAAATTTAGTTTTAATGTGTTAGGTTTGAGATGATCATGATGCATTCACGGGACATGTCAAATGGAACTCCAAGAAGTGTGGACTGGAACTATGAAGTTAGGAGTTATCAGCTCGGACATGATTTTTAAAGCTATGAAATTGGATGAGCTCTCCCAACAAGAGTGGACAGAGAGAGAATATGACCAAGTACCAAGCTCAGAGGATTCTGTACGAATCAGGGGGAGTGAATGATGAAAGAGAGTGGGAAGGACTCTCCAAAAAAAATAAGAGGAAAATTAGGAAAGATGTCATGACAGGAGAGAGAGTTAAGAAGGGTGGAACCTTGAATAATTTGAATATATTTGAAAGATTAAATAAGAACAGAAAAATATCTAACGGGTTTGGTATCTGGGAGATTTTGGCAACATTGAAAAAAGCAATTTCAGTGAATGGACGGCGCAGAAACCAGATGAGGACAGGTGAAAATGACGGGGAGGTGATATACTAAAAACAGTGATAGAGACAACACTTTGTGGAAGTTTAGCAATGAATGCAAAACTGAGACTTGAATAGCAGTTGAGACACAGTTGGCGGCTAAGAAATATTTTTGTTTATCTTTTAAGAGGGGAGATGTCAGAGCATGTTTATGGTGATGGAAATAATCTAGAGGAGGGGTGGAGAGTTGAAGATGTAGAAATGGAAGAAATTATCAAGTTCTTGTTGCAAAGACAAGAGCAGGTGTTCAAAATACTTGTGGAGGAGGGTCTGGCTTCACAGAAGAGAAGGGATACTGCTACTAAAAACTAAAAAAAATATATAACCCTTTGCATTAGAAAATGGCCCACACAATCACAATTATCTATCTATCTAGAAAGAGAGAAATTAAAGGACAGGGAGCTAAACGTGGACATACGGATCCCCAGGTGGAAATTCACTCAGTTCATCTTAAAAACACAAAACGATTCTTTCTATTTTCTCCTTCATTAGGGCTCCGAGTTATCTTCTAGCCAATGCTGTTGTGCACTTGGGCGGCACTGAGGGTACCCACAAGCCTACCATTTTTCTTGCACTTTCCTCACCCTATGTATGGCCCATCACCTTCCTATTGTTGACATAATGGCCAAATGCAGTGGGAGAAGACAAGTGACGGGGACAACTATTTTTCCTCTCTCCACAACGTCCACTCCCAAACTACCCTCCTTCCATGTTTTCTCCTAATCTTGTATTGGTAACAATGAGATCATTCTTTTTTCACAGTGTGTTCTTCATTGTCATTAAAACGTCAGTGACCCTCTCTGTACTGACACAACTTCTCTATTCCTTTTCTACACATTCATCTATTCTCATAGCTTTAATAACTATCTATATATGTGCTGATGATTCCCAAATGTTTTCCCTCTAACCCAATCTTCTTCATAAGCTCCAAACTCACATACCCACTCAGCTTTCTACTGGGCATCTCCAACTGAGGCCTCAAGGACACCACACACTTGAAAATTCTACAACTAAACTCATCAGCTTACCTCCCCACCCCATTCTCAAATCAACTCATTCTCTAACATCTCATCAGTTTTCCAGGGCAGAAGTCTGGTTTAACTCTGGGCTCCTCCGTCTTTGTGTCCAGCAACCAATCAATTATTACATCCTGTCAATTTTATTGCCTTCAAATTCATATGTACCAGTTATCTCCACCCTCAATATTACTCATAGGTCAGATCAGCCCCAGAAGAGCTCCTTAAATTCTCTCCATGCCTCCAGTATGGCTGCTCTTGAACTATATGGTATTCCCTCCACACTGTAGCCAGAATAACATATTCTACTTAAAATAGTTTAATACTCCAGGGCACCTGGGTAGCTCAGTCGGTTGGGCATCCAACTCTTGATTTGGCTCAGGTCATGATCTCAGGGTCGTGAGATAGAGCCCCGCATCAGCGGGGAGTCTGCTTGAGATTCTCTCTTCTTCCTCTGCCCCTATCCCTACCCTTCTCTTTCTCTCTCTCCCTCAAATAAATAAATTTTTAAAAAATAGTTATTGCCCCCCCCCCAATTACCATGATGATAAAACACTCAGCTTGTAACATGGCTTACAAGGACCTTCACAGCCTAGCCCCTGCTTATCGCTTGGATTTCACATATTTGTTATGTTCTCTCTCATTTTTGCGCTTGGGAGCATGTGCTTTTTCTGTCTAGGAGACTGTCACCTCCTGACTACTGTCCCCCACACACACACCTTCACATAGATAACTCCTCTGGGTCTCAGTTTACTTGCCACCTCCTCCAGGAAGCCCCTTCTCTGGTATCCTACCTCTCTCGCCTATTCATCAGCGCACAGAGCTAGTGTGAGGAGTGTACCAGCTGGGAAGGTTTCCAAGGAGCTAAATCTATATGTGGAACTGAAAATGATCTCTCTGGGAATGTAAATGAAATGGAGAACGTATATATTTCACAAAAATGACACTTACCACACTTTCTCTTAGGGAGTGCACCATACACAATGGTAACACCTGGGCGGCTAAACTGTGTTCTAAGACGGATGGGGTCTGTTCATTGCAGCCTTTTGTTTTGCCAACTGAAGAGTGCAATCTGGGACCTGGAGCTAGACTATCCAGGATAACACAGGAGCATTGAGACCCTCTACCAACAACCTCACCTTCTCTAACTTTTCCATATGTGCTCCATTTCCTCGAAAAAGAGCTAAACGAACCCATCTGACTAAGCACAGCTCTCCTCCTGTCCTCCCCACTGTTTACCACTAACAGAGCAACTGCTCACCACTAACAGAGCAACTGCTCTTCGCCACGATTTCCTGTTTACTTGTTTGTCTTCACGACTGGGCCATGAGGTCAAGGACTGAGCACTGAATGTAGTTCTTCCATCTACCTAGCTACCTACCGACTTAGGAGATAAAAATATTGCAATTCAGAAAGACGAGGTAAGATGCCTCCAATCACACAGCATCTAGACAGGTATGGAAACCAATCAGGCTCCAGTGTCTGTGGGAACACTCGGGAACTATGCTGCCCCCTGAATAGTTTCTATCCACTCAAAATTGAAAAATGGAGTCAAGATGGACCGTAAGACAATAAAGTGCTATTTACTTCTTACCTCTTCAATTCTACCACTGCCTCCCTACCTGCTCTTTAGGACCTTAGCTCCCCAGTGCATTTCATTAGAATAGTAAAGGGCAGTATACACATGCTGAAGAGACTGGGAGATTTTACTCATGGTATTTATTGATGTATTAACAAGAAACCGACGTGGCTTGGAGGGAGCTAGACTTGTTTTTAATCCCTGGTGAACGTCTGTTAGCCCAGTGCAACAATGGGAAATAAAGGTGGTATTTGAAGCCAAGCTCTGAAACACTCACTTCTCTTGGCGATCTTGAGCCCCCTTCTCGAAATGTTGGCTTACATCTGAAATTAATCTGTCATTTAAAAAGAAAAGTGTATTACATTAGGGATAAGCACTGGACTAGATTGACTTACCTGAACAAAGCAACAGTGACATATATGGAGACTACAAAACAACCCAAAGAATAAGGAACACAGTATAACACTTCAAATCATCACCCTAGACAATCACCCCAGGTGATCCTCTATCTCCAATCCATGTCTCTTCGTTCTCATTGATGAAATCAACATATCTCTAAACAATAATCCTCTCACACTGTAAATTTGAGAAAAAGAGATAAACAGTAAGAGAAAATATGTAAGGCAGCTGAAATCACCCAGCTATGTTTCAGATTTTAAAAGTAGGACAACATAAACTTGAGAAATATTTAATATGATGATGATGATTCACACACTGAAATTTTTCTTTAAGTCTTCAGTACTGCCTTTCTTTTAGATAGGCAGGTCTCCCGGTAACATGCCCATCTTCTTTAGTTACTTGATAAGGTGAAAGGAGTACAGAAATGAAAGAGGACATAAGTAAGTGGGATTGGAACAGCAAAAAGAAATATATATATAATGTTAGTAGTCATCCCTACAAAATAGCAGTTGGCAACAATCGGTAATGTGTTCATGAAAATAATGTATGTTGCAGGGGATGAAAACATTTCAACACATTCACACACGGCAGCTCAAGAACACAGATAACACAGAGACTCACGCATGGAAAGACAGGAGAAGCAAGAAAGAGAAGGTGGCAGACGACACATTCATGGCTGGAGCCTCCGCTTTCCTGCAAGTGACTGATCCATGGACTCTGCAGAACCTACTTCTTCTGGAGGCAAGACACCACGGGGATGTCACCTCCAGACCACCCACACGTTTGTGCTGTGCAAGCAGAAAGCTGCCCCCAAGGAAGAAAGGAGAGCTGCCTTCTGGCCTGGCTCTCTTCTTTGCAGCCACTTTAGGAAGAAGAAACTCAAAAGGTCAGACCAATCTAAACAATGATTTTAAGGAGCTATGGATTTTCTTTTTCTTAAAGAAAGAAGATTTTTCTTTAAGGAAAAAAACATCTTGCGGAAAATTCTGTGGGTGAACAACAATGTTTGTCATTCTAAAAAAAAAAAAAGAAATCTCGTGTACCAGGTTTTTCTCTCTAACCTTACCACTCCTCCTTCCAAGAGGCAACATAAAATGATACCGAATTATCCTTCAGCAAACAATAGGACGAATTAACCTGAAGCACTGGTTTTCCATTGCTAGTCTGGTAACGATGTCGGTCTTTCAGCATTTTCAAAGGGCACGGTTTTGAAAAAGTTCGAAATAGCAAGTGACAGCTTGTCTTAGAAGCCCAAACACTTGCAATGTAGCCAACACTGCAGCAGGTGGCGCTGTCTCACCTTTTCTAGCTGTTCAATGCAGGCGGTGTGGACGACGATTTTACAGACCGCACACTTCCTCCTCAGGGCCGATTTCTACAACATTCAATTCAAAATACAAGAAGAAACGTTAACAGGCGGCTCTGGAGAGCTCCCTGGCATTAAAGAGAGTATACATAATGAAAGCAAACAAGCAAATTTAAAACACCATCTTAAGCATTTGAAAATAGGGCAAACTTTAGTCTTTTGACCCACCTCCTACCTCCGTATCTCGATGACTTAGGGCGGCTAGATTTTCTCTCCAAAATAGAATACTTATAATAGCTGCTGTATACTGAGCATATAATATGAACCAGGCTCTTTACTCTGTCGTTCTTAAGTTTTATAACCTAACAACGTAGGCATTAGTCGCCTCCATTTTTATGGTTTTTTTGTTTGTTTTTGTCTTTTTACATTTTTACGCCAGTAGGTAAGCAGCGGGACCAACATGCAGAATCAGGTCTCAGCTCAAAACAGGCACTCCTTCCCTACTGCCAAGAGCCGACATCTCAAGGGGCCAATCCCTTTAGGCTTCTATCCCAGGCAGGAATCTCTACGAAGCTACTTGGGTCTTCCCCCAAATCTTCAGCAAAGTAATAAGACAAGCCTCACTCTTCCACCTGGTAATAACAATCAATAGTAATAATAGCAGCAGGAGCAGCTAACACGAATGCCAGACTCGCTGTGAGTCGGGCACTCAGAAGCTCTTCACAAATAGTAACTCATTTAACCTTCAACAAAGCTAAGAAATTGGTAGTATTTTAACTCCCATTTCACGGATGAGAAAGTTGTGGCACAGTAAGTGGTAATGAGGACACAGCAGAGCCGGGGAGGCTAGCTCTGAGCTCATGCTTGTCCGCATGACACAGTTTGGCCTCTTGGATGGTCAGTACTGGTTTCAATGCACAATAAAAATACTTTTGGAGGTGTATCTTTCCTCTAACAATAAAACAAAAAAACAAAAACAAACCCAAGCAGCAGGGTGAGAGAGGAACAGGGAGAATCTCGATCCTGCCCGCGCCGTGTAAAATCCAAGGGAGGAATGTTCAGGCCTCCCCACAAGGCACAGGCTAGAAGGTAGGTCCGCATGAGTAACTCTGGGGCTTGAGCACTGAAAGCAGCTTAATATAACAAAGCTAATCTGTGAAATAGTGAATCAAATCATCCAAGTGTGAAAGGCCTTGAGTCCTTATTCTTAGGAAAGGTGCTAGTATAGATTGCTGGCAAGCTGCCCTCTTCTGATGTGTGGTTTCCCCTGCAGAGATACAACTTGGGAGCCAAAAATTGAGGTATTGCTGCTACCAAAGAAGATTAGAAGGACTGCAAACCACCCCCTTGGAAGGGGTGGTATCGGGCACGCAGGTTCAGCCGGCTCCCTCCCAGACAGTTCCACGCATTCAATATGGGGTATGCAAAGAGCTATCTGCCTCCCACGAGGCACCCAGAACCCTCCAGCAACTCCACTTGCAGTCTAGACACCCGCTGACTGAGGTTTAGTTACCGGCTTGCAGACGGCTCTCCTCTGCCTGAGGAAAGAACATGGTCTGGAACATTAAATAAGTCTGACAATCAATTGATTTTGCAAAGAACAAAGGATAAGGGAAACTCAAGCATCTAGCCCCAATCCTGGAAAGTGTCTCAGCTCTACTACTGAAAAGACAGGAGGGGGAGGAGAGAGAGTGGGAGAGGGAAGAGCGAGGAGGGGCTCTGGCAGAAGCGGCGGCAGCACTCAGGGCAACAAGAACAGGATTCTAGTTTGCAAATTTTCACAAGCACAATGCCCATAAGCAAATTGAGGTTGCTCTCCTGTTTCCTTCGCATCTCCGGGCAGAGATCACTGAGGTGGCACCACCTGCAGGAAATACATGGGGCATTGGAGTCATGTGGCCAGTCAGAGTTGCAGTGATGCTAAGGAAACTGGGGTGGATTCCAGTCTACTTGTTATCCACAAAACCCCTGGTAGATTACACTGCAGACAAACAAAGCAACTCTACTCACAGTAGGCAACCCCTGATGGGCTACGGTTGTTTAAGCACACCCAACAAGCCTCCTTCCTTATCAATAAGTCCTGCTCCAGTCTGGCTTTGCACCTGCAGAGCTCCAGGGACTCTCCGAGCCTCCTAAGAGGTCACTGAGGATTGTAGGAAGAGCACCAAGCTGGTGCGGGGACCCGGACCCAGAATACCTCTTCCTTGCCAGGATTCTAAGTCAGAATCTCTTTTGAATAAGGGATCTGAGCTCACAGTAAGAGTTTGAGAACCACAAGGTTAAGCTATGTTATCTCTCAGCTTTCCAGGACAGCATGTAAATATACTAACATCATTCACAGGGAACAATTCAAGTACAATGTTCTCCAGATGATAATGTATGAAGTAAGGTGCTTTAAGTTATAAAGCCAATTTCATTTAAACAATATTGAATTTTAAAAGACCCTCATAACATATATGTTTTCGTGACTGTAGAGCTAGGATATATAGACCATAATCTGAATTTTTCTTCATAAACACTATAACACGATGCATTTTACTATGAAGGAAGTGACTTTTGTTTTCTAACAGACTAGATAGCCTTTCAGTGTTGTTGTGCCTGTCTCTTGTCGCCTTCAATTTCTTCAACGACAGCTTCTAAACCGTTTATAATCTAAGAAATCAGATAATTCAGGTTTATGATCATATGCAAAATTAAGCAAATTCTGAAGGCCTTTTTCCATAGTAATAAAATACATGGGTTTCAGTTCCTCAACTGATAAAAACTGTTACAGTGAATCAGAAATTTTAACTGCTGACTTCTTGGTTTATGACTATGTTTCAACTGGTCAAAGTTATTCAAAATTGCTGGATGATAAGTTTCTGTGGGTAGAAATTACTCAAAACAAAGAATTTTTTGTGCTTGGTTATGTTACAATTTTTATTTACAAGATTTAAACTAAATACAAAGTTAAAATATCAGAACCTAGACTGTATTAACTTTTTTTTAAAAACAAAAACAACCGAACTCCTATCTAAACCGACGCTTCCTTCACTATGAAAAGTGATGAATCAAAAATGTCATTAGTTCCACATGTTTACAGATTAAAATTTAAAAATTTTAAAAACTCACTCTCTTCAATGAATTTAAAGGCCAGACTTACTGTTTTAAATATCAAGTAAAGTAACTTCAGTGTTCTTACTAAGTTCTTACTCATCAGTTTTCTGATTGTGTTAGTATCCAAAGGAAATCCATTAGTTTGTCAATTGTGTGTGTGTGTGTGTGTGTGTAACATCTATGAAAAGTAAGACAATATAGGATGTAATACAGACCATATCCCATCACACCAGGATCAACATTTGTTCTATAACAACAAAATGATAGACTGTACGTCCAGTCAGTGGGCATAATCCCACTAGCAGACTCATGGTGGTGGTAAGAGAAAACATTCTAAGTTCTGACTCTGCCCTCTGTTTCCCCATGTAGCAGGCACTCTGGCATTCAAAGCAGTAACAGCTCCTCCCCCAACTTCAGCTCCTATCAAGCACAGAAGTAAAATTATCACAGCCTTAGACCACTGGAGCTGGGGCTGGGACAGAAGGATCCAAGGCAAGCAGGGGTAGAAAGTGTGTTAAGTGTTCCTGACAAAGAGTTTAAGATCTAGTGCCCTCCCACCCACCACCTCTGGTCATAAGTCCCGGATCCATAGGCACCCAAGAAAGCTGTATTTTCTTCCTCTGAGCCAGAGATGTGATTTTCCCTAAGTGGCGATGAATATCTGGTGGTAGTTAAGAGAGTTTGATAGAATGAAGGGAGGACAGAGGAAGGAGGGAAGGGAAGCAAGACCCAGCTGCACAGGCCTATGATTTGTAAAAAGGCTGGGGCTTCTTAGTGTCCAAGGCAACTGAATTGTTACCCCTAATAGTGTGAACTGTGACCCCCAAGAAACATGTACAACAAGGCTGGCTGTGCCCCTTCCCGATAAGGCATATACCAAACCTTATTTCTCCCTGAAGATGAAGCAAATTATCTTGCCTGCTGACCTTCTCTCTCCTGTAAGGATACACCCCCCCACCCTCATCCCCACAGACATCCACAGGTTTAACCACCAGAGATGAGAAGAAGAGGAGGAGGAGGAAATACTCAAGAATCCTCAGAGCTGGCAGGGCAACCCTTTCCTGGTCTCCCTGCTTCAGCAGAGCTTAGAGACCAGAGCCTGCTGCTGGCCAAACACAGTTTGGGCTCGCAGCATCTCTCCCCAGACAGGGTTCCCAGGCTTGGGCTCACAGACTTAATGCAAAGAATCACTGCTTCCATTAGCTCCATCTCTGCAATAGGGCCACAGTGATAAAAGGATGAATGGCCGGGGAAGGGTTGGGAACCCAATCCTGGGAGCAGGGAAGGAGGCAGAGAAGGCAGTCTGGGGAAGGGGCCTGATGGAGCACAGAGCCAGAAAAAGATGGGGGGAGGATGGGGCTGGGGAAATGGGCATCAAGTTCTGGCCTAGCTGTCTTCTTCCTACTGATTGCTTAGCCCCTTGGTTGATCCCAGATCCAAAGAATCAGACCGAGGAATAGAAACTAAGGAAGGGTTGGGAATCAGGCAAAGAGCAAGTAAGGCAAGAAGAATTGCATCCTCCCTTCTTGCTCCCTTTCAGACACAGAGCTCAGTCTACAGGGCATGTTGGTGGGAGGGAGAACTGGGAGAAGCAATAGGGCACAGGTAAGGCCATCCTATTTTCTTCTCCAAGGGTGGGAGAACGGAATGCTCAGTAAAGAGGAGAGGAGGAAAGCTCCTAAGCCTTTGGAGAGTCTGGAATTCAGTGTCCTTTCAGTGGGGATCGCCTCCATGGGCAGTGTGAACCCTGTCGCTGTATAATCCAAGGTAAATGAAAACGAGAGTTCTTTGATTTATTTAAAAACCTAATTAGAAGAAATGACAAGCATACTTGGCAAGTTCTGCTTCTCTGGGGAGCCTGGGATACAATCTGTAAATTGGTATTAGGAAAAATGAAAAATGACATTATCTGGAAGTTCCATTTGTGTGATTTTAGGATCAAACAGAATACAGGACACTTTGGACAAACCAGG